TAAAACTGCCACGTCAAAACGGTCAAAACCTGTGGGCAGCCATCATTGCCGTGGTGGGCTGGTGTACGTAGTGGCTAAGGAATTTTTAACCAAACGAGTCCCAAACCGACTGCTACCCCGCCAACCACCAGCGCTGTTTTACGGTCAATGTGCTGCTGATTGGATTGTGGGGGTTGGGGTTGTGGGGGTGTTGGTTGAACCCTAGGCTCTGGGGGTGGCGCCACTATACCCATCGCACCAGTATGTGTGGGTGGTGGGACGTGGAGGGGTGTTAACATTGGGGTTGACGCCCAACTTTTGGTCTGCCGTGGCTATGACTATTTCGTTGTTGTAACCCACCACTTTTTTTACTCTCAGTTGCATATCACTCGGAGCCATGTACAGTCCCACGTCGAACACGTAGTCGACTTTCGACCGGGCGCATTCCAACACGTCTTGGTAGCATTTGATGGCACTCGGTACATCAACTGGAGCATTGATAGCAACCCCAACGTTAACAACGAACTGTTCCTGAGCGTCGTAAGCAGTCCCCTTACCGAGGATGTTGGAAAGCGTTTGCGTCTGCGCACCCAACAGTGCCCACACGTACGTTCGAATCGACTCGTTCAATCTGGTTACACCGGCATGAGTGAACCCTCTCGACGTGTCCAGCATGAACATTTTCCAATCGTCCGTTGGTCCCTGCTCAAACCTCCAAACACGGTAATCCTTGCTGTTGTCGAAAGCCATGTAACGGTCATCCCACTCGTTTGTTGTAAGGTGATGATACGAGTTGTACCCCCATTCTTTCATCTTCTCGCTGGCTTCCATGAGGAGCATGTTGTGAACGATGGGGATACCCAACCCATGGTTCGGCCCTGGCAAACGCCAATCCGTCTTCGGGTTTATTTCGAATTCGTTGCAAATACGTTCGTAGGCCCGTCTATCGTACTGGTTGTTAACTGCTTCCCATGCCTTGTCCTGTGGGAGTGGAGCGCTGATCTCATTGAGGATACGCCTGACCTGGTAGTACACGTGAAACATGAACACAGACTGACTCAGCGGTCCCCGCCGAGTGTCCGTCAATGTCACACCACACCCCGTTGTAACGCACCACACAGCGAAGTTGAGTTGATTCTGCCAGAACTGCATCGGGTTGTTGAACCAAGCATGAACTACCCTAGCGTTAGTCACCAAAAACCTATACTGGCCGAACACATCTATAAACTGGGCGCCGAAATACATCCCAGCAGCGACCACAGTCTTCATGTGTGGGAAATCTATGTCCAGTTTAGGGTAAAACACTCCCGGGGAGTAAAACACTCCTTTGTCCATTTTTAAAGTATAATATAATGAGTATATATACTCTAACATGTACGTAAAACTTCTAGGAATAACGAGCGGTGAGGCCGTTCAGCTGATACACGCGATCGATAACACGTCGGGTCAACTAGAAGTCGCACTCTGCGATATCACCTACCTACCGCGATGGACTAACATAAACATCAAACAACAAGCTGTTCGTCAGTTGAGCCCGCAACCAGATAACTGACGGCTACTACAGTGTGTGCTCGCTAAGCGACGAGGTCTTCAAACCCTTGGGAGCCAAACTCAAGATGAACGACTCAAACAACAGTGGTGTTAATCAACAACGGAAGAAACCATTGAGGCTCGGCCGACCATTGGCGAGGACACTGGGTATGCCGCCGGACGAGATAAAACCAACAACTACCGTCACAGGCACGAAGTTACCCGACCTAGTACCGTACCGAGAGCTGTGCGTTCATCTCGGTCAGTTGAGCACAACGGACAACATTCAAGGGGGTCACCCTTCCACGATACTGAGAGCCGTACCCATGAAAACGGAGAAATACAACGACGGTAGAACGGAGTCGTTTTCACCGCGGCAGTATAAGAGGTTAACTCGGGGTAACATCCCTGAGCTGATAATATCGGTGTTAGATATAAATCATAATCCTGTGAATATATGGATGCCTCAGCATAACGCTGCACATAAAATGACTAGCGCACAAGGCCCCGGAATGAGGTTGAAAAAATGCATCAATGCAGGGATCTCCGACCTCGGGGACACACGCGGATTCGACGACCCAGGAGTAGATGGTAAACTGTACGCCTTGCAACTGAAAAACAACATTTACAAACACGTTGAAGTCCCCTCCATCGGTAGAACCCTAGGTGACATAGTAGAAGTCTCAGGAGCGGCCCTCAACACTCGGTTTGATCTAGTCCGTATCGGTGACGATAGATGGGCGGTATCCCAATCGTTCGGAGGCAAACTGTTCGACTTAGAAGATGTTGATAGCACGACCGTCGCCTGAAACAAACCATATACGCTCGTCTTCACCGACGATGACAAGTGGGTGTTGTTGCCCGCTAAAGTCAACTGGTTTCTCAACATTAGGCTTGGCTCCCGCTACGTGTTCACAGAGAACAAAGACAACTACCTAAACAAAGTCGTGAACAACGGAACCCTGCTCGTAGCTTACGTCCCGGCGCAGAGACGTAGCGTAGTCATCAGCCCAGTCACCAGTATGGCAGCCCACATGGTATCGAGTAAACTGGGAGTGCAAGACGGAGCATTGCAGTTGGTATCTGAATTCGCTGGCGTGGTCAACATCCTGGCGAGCCTACCGGCGAACTCCACGCTGGTCATCAAAGTCTACCTAGGGGAACCATCGCCGGATGAAGTTGAAATCGTAAAGGGGATCAAACTCCGTTGGGGGAAACAACACCAGTATCACGTTTGCACTGTTTATGTTTGGGTAGACCACACCAGTCTGCAGGGGGTCACCATGACCGTGGAAGCCACGATATCACTAACCAAGATCTTCCTACCCGACAACATACACTTCATGGGGGTAAAGTGCACCCCTGAGAAATTATCAGAAAAACAATTGGAAACATCTTGTAATAGTATTATAGCAATATCCAATCATCATCGGCCCAACGTCACGCTTAACAACCTAGGGGACACAGAGGGATTCGATCAGCCTGGCGAGTAAGACGCCTTGTATGTCCTACACTTGAAAGACAACGTGTATAGGCGGGTGCGGTTATCAGACTTTAAAGAGCCTTTATGGGTGATCAACATAGCCCCCACCGCACCTTACGTCCCCTTGAACCAAAATAATACTGTCTCCGAGATTAGGAACAACGGTATCATTCTCGGGTCTTTCACTCCAGGTTATGGTGATGATATAAAAGTTATACGAAGACCATTCACCCCGGGCAACGTGTTAAGCTCAAACGGGGAATTGTCTTTAAGTGTTGTCGCCCCCGATTACCAAACAGACCTTATGATTGTAAAACCAAACTCCACACTCATACTAGAAGTCTTTATCACATATGATATTGATTACAAAGAGCGCGATCTTTTACCTGGGTTGACAATACTCTTGGACGGTGGAATCTTGGACGATCGTTTCAGGATCATCATACAACTGGGATCGGAACCCTTTTTGAGTTATACCCCCAAACATATCCCTCCATAACTTTCGAGTGAATCAAGATTTACTTAGAGTCTCAAAGGTTTCCCTGCCCAATTATATAAACCTTATAAGCCTCAAATATACTACTCAAAAATTAACCGAAGCTCAATTAGAATATTTCTTGTAGTATATATTATATGCACAGGATGGGGTTGTACCCAGTCGCAGAGGAAGTAGGGAAGCCCCTGGAAACTGTAGACGGGTTCCGCTTGAGACAGTTATGTGACATAAAACGCCAACTAGAACAAGACCGCGACACACGGGCAGCATTGTATAAGAAGTACCATAGAGCTTTCAATGTCATGGATGGGGTTGATACCGCCCTTATGGCTACCAGTATGGGGTTAGGGGCAGTAGGTGTGGGGTTGTTGGCCACCATCATAGCCGCACCCGCAGTGCTAGGCATCGAAATAACAGCTGGGGTGTCAGGGTTGGCTGGATTGGTGTTTAAGTTTGTGTCACGCAGACTGCATCGGAAGGCATTGAAACACGACGAGATCAGGATTCTGGCCGAAGCAAAGCTGAACACGGTAAGTGAGCGTATTTCCACGGCACTCACTGACAGTAAGATCTCAGAGGACGAATCTCGTTCAATCCTCTCTGAACTTGACAAGTACCGTAAGATGAAACAAGAAATCCGGCTCAAGTCTCGTAAGTCTGCTATCAGCGAAGACGAGAAAAAAAAGTACATAGGACAAGGGGTACGAAACATTAAAACTGTTTCACACAACATAGTGCCACGTGTGGCCGGGAAGTTAACTGGGGGTTCAAAAGTAGTAGATATACTTGGGCGAGATCTAAGGGCCTGACAAAAGCTTTATTTGTGAAATAAAGCTTTGCAGAGGCTTTTGTTGGACTTGATCTCGGACTGTCATTATATCTACTACTAAGTAATTTAAATTGAATTGCTTGTTATGTATTGATGTGTCTCATATGTAGATGACTACCTCGTACCAATGTCCTATTCTTCTGATTAACGCTGAGGGAGCCTTCATAATTTAATGGTGGGGGTTGGGGGTTATGGGGGTGCATGTAAATAAAATGTGAATGCTCCCCGCTAAACTATATTGGAAAGACATCCTCCCGTAACCCCCGTATTCTTTTTTAATCATTCGATGCCTAAGAATATAGGCCTATGTTTTTTATGAGAAGAAACCTACCTTAAACCTAATCCTAAACCCTACCCCGTCGAAATAATCCTAATAGAATACATTTCAAGCGTGGGTTACGGGTTAAAAAGATAATACTTTATATAAAGTGGCCATTCACCACCACCTACCCCCGCCTGCTTGTCATGTACAAAATTGCTGACCACGCCCACCCACCCCAACCCGTAGTGTATGTGTACAAAGATGACGCACATGCACGTACACACACAAAACAAACCTCCCTAGAACAAAACGGGTGACACGCCCCCCCCAAGAAAAATCATCAACCCCCACCCCACCACACCTAATTTGGGAATTTATCTGATTGTTCAATAGTACCATTGATTTTATACAACTGTTGCAGGTGTACGGGTGTACAAGAGAGTAAATGAGGAACAAATGAAGATGGTCAGCAGCATTCTCACCAGTAAGAAGCCAAAAACCGAGGAAATACCATGCAAAGCGGAACACAAGGCTTCAACTCCAGAAGGTATGTTTTCTTTCTCCCAGTGGAAACAAAATTTTAGGGAAAAATTAAAACGTTTTCATTACTGACTCTTCTATTGAAATTTAACGTTATTGGTCAGGGGAAAATGCACTGCTCATTGGCCAGTGGCTCACTGACCGAACTGTCATTTCATTGGTCAAGAGTTTGTACTAACCCCAAGTGTATTGGTATTTGAGCTTTTCATGAAAACTATACTTGATATTGATGAATGTAATTTGTTGGTAAACGTCATGTTCACGTTCTAGGAATGTATCATCAAATTAATCATTGTTGTAACTCAAATTATTCATTACAAAACTATCTATGAGGATCCTGTCTAAACATCTATTTCATTTTCAGATGATTCAAGTCACCCTGAGGAGAATGGGAAGGGGGGAGGGAGATCTCGCCGGTTCCAATTTATTAACTGCAGTGTGCAAATATTGTAAAAAAATAAATCATTTTGAATGGTTCTGTATTTGTTTTTTTATTGAAGATGTTTCCAACAAAAACATTGAGGTAGAGGCATACGGTTGTCAGACCCGATCTGCCAAGGGAAAAGTTCTTCTCGAGGTGCGATACCGGGAATAAGGTGAGGCGAAGCCGAGCCTTGTTCCCGGTATCGCACCGAGAGTTGGTCAGATAACTGCCCTTGGGGGTTATATGTTAACCAACCTCTGGGGAAGGTTGGTTATCTGATAACCAACCCCTTGAGAGGTCGTTCACAAGAATTAATAACGCCAGATATTGACCCGATAATCAACCAACGTGGTATATATCCCAATATCCTTCCACCTCCGTTTGAGGATCAGGGAATTGACATACCCGTGGTGTTTGGTTGCTGATTACTGCCAAAAGGGATACCCAAGCTGTCCTTGTCGCATTCTTCATTACTTAAGAAACCATTGGAGTATTATAACTTAGGCCTCTCCAAGGCCACGACGTGGGATAACCTGCCCAGGTCGACACCATTCACGATAGATTTATCCCGGCCAGTCTACCTAGCTTGGATAAGGATTTTGAACTCTTACAAGAAGTAAACGGCTTCCGGGAGCAAACACTTCCGTGTACAATAGCGATTCAAGGAGTTAGATATGGCTGCTCGGACATCCATTGGTATGTTATCCTATTCTTGCTGGTTTGCCGCGGGTCTACGGGCTTTGCTCCTCCAGTTTTCCAAGTTTACCCTGGGTTATAAAGGACACAGCTCAAGAGGGGCGTTGGCACATTTTTTTCCTGGACGTGGTTTATCTATCTCTAGCGGATGCTATGGCCAATCAAGAGAATATATTACGTCGTCTCACTTCCTTTGAACGGATTCAGAGACTGGATTCATTAAGGAATTAAAATAGAGACATAGTCTAGAGTCGATATTCGTAGGCAGCTGGGATACTATATAGTTAATTCACGGGTAGACGAGTATCAATCATGCGTGAAGTGAGCGAGTTAAGTTTTACGCATCACTGAGCAATATCCAGCCTTATGACGGGGCCTATAATTTATCGACTTGGGATCAGACAAGCCAGTGATCAACAACATGAGTATTGATCTACGGAGTTGGGATATGGTGTCATATTGGGTTAACCAAGTCGGCATCCTGTCCTCCCGATTTCATTAATTACCTTTTACGACAAGCAGAAGGGACTCATAAGCCATCTCTTCCCCATTCATCACTTATAAACGGAATTTGAATTTCTCAACTTTTGGTAGATATCTACCGTATACGGGACTGGCATAAGTGAGTCAGGGAGTGTCGATCTTTTCTCCACTCGACAATCTGTTACACTTGCTGTTGTAAAAGGAAGCTATAGTTTTTCGTCATCTGAGCCCAGTTCTTCGCCTACTACTTTAGTTATTCATTAGTTGCGTTGAAATCTACGGCCTACGGCCACGGATTCAAATCAACCTGGCACAGGTGTACTCTGTATCACATACAAGAGTCAAAACGGCATAGCACCAGAATAGCTAGGTGAACTGTTAATTCCCTTCAACCAGACAACTGCGATCTGCAAGCAATTCTTATTGAATACTTTTTTTATATAGACTGCCATGGCTTTTGGTAAGCGTTTTGTCACTGGTAGTGTGCCATTTCTGTGGAATGATCTGCCCATCGCTATAAAACTGCATCCATGGTTGATTTCATTCTTTCACTGCACTATTAACTCAAACAAAACGTGTTTGAGCATTCACTTTGTGGTTGGATTTTGCGATAATTTTCAGTATTATCATCATCATTATTATTACTGAATTAGGATCACCACGGCTATTTCGAGACGGTTTAAATTAATCTGCTGCCTCACGAGGCTGGGGGCAGTTCAGGGAAATTATTTCGTGTTTTCGCAAGTCTGGTTCACTGCATAACGCGGCAGGATAAGTGATCTCCAATATTCATTATATTGTCAAACTAAGACTTGCTTACATGGCTGGGGATAGCAATAGACAATCCCATGTCATCCTTGATAGGATGGGTCTTTCCCCGCCAGTGCTTCAATATTTGATAGGGATTTCTAACACCTGGTCTCGTATTTATGGCATGGGATGATAGTTTTTCGTTTTTCCACCGTTCAAATTCTTTTGGGAAAAGATTCTTGCAGAAGATTCAACATCACAGTTGTATTGTATACCCAGTTGTTCCAGCGTGGCCTACATCTGTTGTCAGACAGTTTTCTACGTCTAATGCTATGGCACAATCTGTTTAGTCAGATCCGATAAGTTCCATGAGGCTGCCTTGTATGATGGTAAATAGAGACGAGTTATCCAGTGTAGAGGAAAGCAAAGAAGTCTTGGACCCCCCTATCAGCATCCAGGGACTCGCAAGATTATCAGTTCATTCCAGATTAAGGACATATTTTCTCCTACATATTTTTCTTAAGTTGGTTTTTATCTTGGTAATACAGTCTCTCCAAGAGTCACCATATCAACCAATGCAGGACACTTCTCTCAAGTTCCAATCATTTAAGATGGCAATCCTCCTAGGGTTTTTTTTGCTACAGTATCCAGAGTATTCGATTTACGTACTATAGATTTTATATCCATTAATTCTACGGAAGGTTATAATCAGATGATAGATCTGATAGGACAAGACTTTTGTGCCCAATCTGAGCGTTGCGTTGGTAGATGCAGCTTACATTGACATTTAGACACGATCGTTGCCGTTTGTTCATTTCGTGCTAAACTAATGTTGATTCAGAGATATCTAAGAATACTATCCCCTTCTGGTTAAAAAACCCCCATATCTTATGAATATTGTGATCAGGATCAAGACTCTTTTAATCTCCCAATGTTATCAGAGCCTTGGCTTCATCTTTGGTGGCTTGGTCGTCAGTTGGAACAAGTAGTTGCCAGTCACCAAAGGAAATCATCTAACATTTTTATCCATTTCTATCTTAGAGACGTTGCTTCCTCTCTTGAGGGTCTCTTCTCACTGGGTCCTTTAGTGGGCAGCGCAGCTCCTCGCCTCTGCCTGGTTGCCCCTGGAAAAAAGGGGGGCAGGGGGGATGTGTGTTACACCTAAGCCTAGGATTACAGGATTGGATCAGACACAACCTACAGCAAGCCGGAGATACCACGGTAGGAATCATTGTATTCATTGGTATCTCCTAACCGAGCACATTATGGGCCGAGTCTCTCACTTCCCGGCTATGGTTGATAGCAACTGGTTGGAAAATATATTTTTTCTTCAGGTTGACAGACCTTCAGTACTATATATACATTAGTTGTATTTGATACCGGAAGTGACATCATCAACCAGAGTGACGTCATGTAACCGGAGGTGACGTCATATTTCCGGAAGTGATGTCAAATATCACCGAAGTGACGTCATAGGACCGGACGTGACATCATATAATGGCATCTGAAGGTTATTAGTCTAATATCCTTAGGGATTGCTTCAAGGATCCGGAAGTGGCGTCATAGTTACCGAAGTGACGTCATGAAACAGGAAGTGACGTCATAGTTACCGGAAGTGACGTCATAAGGAATATTAGGTTTAATGACATATTTCGGGATTCGGATAGAATCATGATACATTTATAGGAATCTATCGTAATCCGGATTTATGGCGTCAGGGATTATATAATCCCTACTATTACGGATTAGGATTATCATCATATCTATTATATCAACCATTACTGCGGGAAGTTAGAAGACTCACCATCTCTGGGAAAGTATTCCCTCACTGCTACTGACCAATCTGGAGATAAATTATTTATCTCTGATTAAGTCATAGTTATTCTTAGGAGGTTGAGCAATCAACTCTCAGCTGGTGGTATAGAGGGTAGTATCTTCTAAGGGTAGCCCTCCTTCCTTACTTGGGATTCAGGCTACCATAATCCAGAGGGAATGTTTACGTTATACTAAGGAACAATTACATGTATTGTTAGTAATTGTTAGTAAACTTACCTCTGGATTATGGGGAGTAGTTCCCACCCTGTGTCCTCCCCGCGAATTTATCCTTAGAAGATGTCATTGATGTGTTGTTTTTTAGAAAAGTTATGAAGGGTTCTAGGAGAACAATACAGAGACGTCAGGATCAAGGGAGATAACTCAGGGGTAGATTAGGTATACCACTAGGAATAGCTACGACTTAGCGTTAAATTTCTTTTGATTTTCTGTATGTATTCTGTGATTCCACAGGAATAAAGCTACCATAATCCAGAGGTAAGTTTACTAACAATTACTAACAATACATGTAATTGTTCCTTTTGAAACAAAAAGATCATTTAAACGTTCATGTACAGACACTAAAACATGGGATTGATTACACTGCCGCGCCGTGTGCAAAATGCATGTCAAATCTTCAAATCCTCATTTTCCTCCTACAACACGTGGACCTTGAAGGCATTAGGCATCTATTACAACTGGCAGTCTGCAAATAGAAGCGAACATTTACATTAATAAGAAGACTCCGCTAACAGCAGAGTCGATGGTAAAATTCCGACCTGACAATCCAGTAACAGAGATCGTGTGACATAGTTCAGAACATGTGTTTATGAATCACTATCAAATAGTGATGATACCTGGTGTTCACAAAAAGGGGAGGAGACTATCTGGCCCCACCGGTGGCACCCCTCATAAATATATGCTAGGGCCAGTTAACTGTTCATACATTCTTAGACAATAGTAAATAGTACATTTTGTATGGATCATGTGAATGCCAGTGATGGGAAATGCTTCCTTCATTAACTTTAAAATATAATTATCAGCATCCTAGCCTAGATATAAACGGTTGTGTATTCTGATTTGGATAATGATAGGTGTGGCTTTGGAAACAGATGCTGACGCCCTTAGAACTTCTGAGAAATGTATAACGGTTGTAGTTGCATTGCAAGGTAATCATTTGTACTAACTTAATGCATGACATCACCTCAGCTTTTGATATATATACGCTGCTAGTCGAAAGGTTTTTAACTGGAAGTACTGTCAGTTCATATCAAAATAAGTTAAAGCTTATTTTATTAGATTAAGGAATATCATTTGGTAAAAATGAATACCAAAGCAGAAGAACCCATTGTTCCGTCAGCAAACAAGAACTTCGGGGGTCATAGCTGAAAAGGTGAAAGGTTCACTGTGATTCACATTATATGAATTTCAACATAAATCTATCTTAAACAACAAAACAAACTTTTACAGTGATCTGATTTAAAGAACAAAAATTAGGACATTGTTCTATTTTACACCAGACCCTCGTCCATTTAAATGTAGTTAATGGGAGTCTATCAGATATTTTATGAATGCTTCCTTATATCACATATAGAATGTCAGTGTAAATGTATTCCTGCTGTGCGGCGGCGGCGGTTTGATAAACCCATACAATCAAGTGATCGATGGGCCGGAAACCCCAGATGTATAAGTTGGAATTACGACTGTTCATATACCTATAACTGAAGACAAACGTTTAAGAATTAGATCTATTTTACAGTAAACTGTGGGTCAGCTTTAATGCCTCTGACCAAGCAGTTCTATTTTAGTTGACTTGGCATACTACAGATGCTTATGATGAATCTTTGAAGGGACTACAGGCCACCAGCAGAAACATCAACCCTGTAGAAAACGTCGGTCCAAATAATATACCTTTACTGCATTCACTTTGGCGGATGAACTGGTGTAAAATGGACCTAAAATGTTCATACCACTTCTAACTGAATATTCATTACCGTGGCACCACAGTCGAAATGGTATTGGTCATCTCGTTACTTCCATTAATGTCGCGTTGCTTCAAGTTTCTCTCAAAAGCTTGAAATTTCGAGTATTTACTCGTTCCTGCGAATATTTTCTCGTTATTCAATTATTAGTTTGTTGCTTCGTTGTTTTAAGTTTCTTACAAAAAGTATTTTCCCGTTCCTCCATGTTTTAAATAAACCCTTGAAATTTCGAGTATTTAAATCGTTGCTTCGAAGTATTTTCTCTTTACTTCAAATACTTTTTCGTTGCTTCGATTAATTTCTTGTTGCTTCGGGTATGTTCTCGTTGCTTCCAGTTTCTTTCAAAAACTTGAAATATCGAGTATTTACAGGTTGCATCGAGTATTTTGCCGTGACCAATCATAATCTTGAAGTAACGAGAACATACTCGAAGCAACAAGTAAAGGCTTGAAATTTCAAGGTTTGGAAAAAAATATTTTATGCTACAAAAGTGGCAGCATTAGTCCTTCGTACAAGAGCTGCCAAGTCGGTATGTTGACATGTTGACGTAAGCTGTATTTCTGTAGTCTGCATCAGTATTCATGACACTGTTTCTCTCACGCTGTTGCAGCGTAACTTGTGAATCCAGAGCAAGTAAGTCCTGCCTCGCTGAGGAGGAACCTGCACGAATTGTTTGTGTAGCACCGACAGAATCACTAAAAATGACCGTTGGCACAGGTCCTCAAAAGTAAATCCAACGCAATGATTCAATGATTGCTGCAAGTTCAGCAGAAAATACCCATCCGCTAATCGTATAGACATTTCTCTTTTCGCATTAGCTATAAAGACACCTGCACCAACACGACCCAACACTGGGCAGTTTGATCCATCGGGGTAAATCTGCATTGCATTGATCCACTGTAAACTTCGGATAAGTTCCTCGGCTATGGCTTTAACACGAGGTGCTGGCTCAGAGTTATTCACCCGTTCCAATACATCAAGATGAACTGATGGAAGCTGAAGCAACCATGGTGGCATCATGGGCAAGGACAGTAGTATCATCAATGACAACATCACGTACAGTTTCATCGAAAGCAGTTCGCTTAGAACGCATCCCATAAGACCCCATACTATCTTTCTAAGGATCTTGAAAATATTCAACACAATCTGCCAACACATTTTACGTCGGGTGTTTTATCCGAAATGATTTCAATTTTAACATTATCTAACTTCTAACAGTTCACGTCTGAGAGTTAAAGACATTATACTTGATCTTTTTAATGAATTAAGTATAGGTCTTTCTCATACCTACATGGAAATGAGAAAGCTGATAAATTGGCGAAAGCTGCATTAGACTTTGATGAATCAGCACAGGGTGAGACAATATTGCCATCACCTGCAGAATTAGGCACCACCAGTAAGATTCATGCTCAAACCAAGTGGCAACAGAGATTGACCTCTAAAAGAACGCCATCTCTATGGCACCGAGCCTGTTGTAAATCGAAACAATCGCAGAGAAGAGGTTTCTTTTGCCCGACTTCGTCTTCCAAGGGCATTGTGATCTTGGTACATGTCTTAATATTATTAATTTTATAAATTTAGCAAACCTCTATGACGGGCAAGATGTAAATGGGCCTAGTTGCCCAAACACCTATTAAACTTTTAATAATCAATCAATCAATCATCATTAAAGCAAGTAAGGTATTTGTGTAGTCTGTATCAGTATCCATTACACTGTTTCTCGCACGCTGATGCAACTGAACTCGTGAACCCAGAGCATAGGAACTATAGTGAGCCAAGAATACTTTTACCTGTCCCTCCGTAGCCATGCAGCTATGTTGCTGCAATTGGATTGTACAATCGGTACTGATAGCAGGTCGAAATCGGACGGTTGGTTTAAGAGTTACAGGCGTCAAAAACACAACCAAGAACACGGTTTTCATACGAGAGCGGATCTCTGGAATACAGCCGAGGTCGGGGTCAAGTAGAGGAAAGAGTTCTCTCGTTAACAGGATATAGCTCCGTTGTCCTTGGCTGTTCAGTCAAATTGGTGTTCTGGAATCGACAGGATCGCAGCTTAGCAGACGGACACACTCAACATATTTATAGGATATCAAACTCGTTCCCCTTTCATATCAGGTTTATGTCCCTCGTGAAATAATTTTGCTTTGTCACTCGCTAAAGCTCATGACAAGGCAAAATTATTTCACTCGCTAAAGCTCGTGACAAAGCAAAATTATTTCACTCGGGACATAAACTTGATATGAAAGGGGAACGAGTTTTGTATCCTATTTATTACCCACGTTCTAAAAAATGAAAATATCGTTAAAATAAAGCAATATATTGCTTTCCTATATAGAACCGCACAACGCGGATTAATACATCACAGTGGTAACTGGAATGTCATCCGCTTCACTCCAGGAAAATGTATGCTGCGTAGAGGCAATGTAGTTCTTTTAACTAGTCAAGAAAATAAACAAATTAAGACAGAATCAAGTCGGAATCAAAATTAATTTCTCTTCAATTGAGGATTTGGTTTCAAATGCAATAATGTAATTCATCAAAACACTTGTAAAGTGTAAACATTTTGAACTTAAATACATGACCTAAATCTTGCCCGAACGTCAGTCGGCCATCACTGTCGGGCTTGCCGTCATGTTGAGAACTGTTCACAAACAAGCAGATAAAAGGAAGCACACGACAGCAGAAGCCGAATGAATGTGAATAACAGGGAACTGTATGTTTCAAATAGTTGTGGTTAATGTTCTTCGCTGTCAATAGTACAGCGACGCTTGGCGGAGAACGCCAGTGACGCCAGTGACGCCGGCTCATCTAGGCTTGGAATTCCCACTTGTCGAGATTCGATGTTTATGTTGTAGACTCCACCGTAAATTTGGCCTGAAAACACACTGCCTACAACCTCGAATGAAGACGATTTCAAGGCTATTGTGTTCTGACTCTTAGAAGTGTTTTTAACCCCTACACGAGAAACCACGGGAGGCATGGCAGTGGCAGTAGAACACATGTTTTGTGCAGTAGGACAACAAGTAGACGCAGCTGACAGTGGCAGTGATCGAGATACAAGAGCGCCGCTCACCTTTTGATGTTGTGTGTTAGAAATTCCATGTGCAGTCCTGACAACATACAAGCTGAAGGTCAATTTTGACCATATCATTAACTTTTAAGGGAGACGCCATATTTGTTTAAACTCACGATAGACCAAGTAGACCTATTTGTTTACTTATTTAGATTGTTTTATTTTCGTTTTTATGTACAGAAACTTGAGTTATTAAAGGGTTGACAACCAATGCTTGTAACCACACTAGAAAATACATTTTATTTAATTTCATAGAAATGTGCTCGTTCTACATGCTCTCAGAAGGTGTGAAAACTTCTGAATGGAAATCATGAATGGGAATGGGTGATGAAAGTAGTACCGGTAATGTCAAAGTTCACCTATTAGCCAATCAAATCACTCGAAGGTGTTATGACACATATGTGTCATAACACTTTGTTATGAACCCCTTTACGAACTACCACGTGGGTAATAATATACAATTTCTGTTTTCACCTGGTAAGTTGGCTTTGGACAAAATCATGAAAAAGGTTTTAAGACTTTTTGAGGAAAACCTTGGCCCAGATGAAGCACTCACTATGGCGGCCATCGAAGGCACACGTAGGTAATTTTTGTGTAGTTCCTGGACACAAAGTATGGGAAGTTTGGAAGCATTGAAGCTGATAGTTCGAACACAGCACATTTTAGGAGCAAACTACCTAGAAGACTGTTAAAAAACATGACTGAATACAAAACTAGCTGCCAAACGGTGCATTTTAGCGATTTGACCCGTCCAGGCAAACTTGTTGGGAATTCGATTGCGCATCTGCACAATAAATTTGGAAATCTTTGAACAATTAGTTCTGGAGATATTTGCTGTCAAACGTCGCACTTTGGGTATTAATTTGAATTACCTGCCGTTTACTACTGGGCCTAGAGCCTTGAGGTTTTGGCGCAATCAACTTCAGCACACTGGGCACCTTGGTGAAATCATGGCACGACCCTGAACATGTCCAGGGTGTCATGGAAAACCATGCTTTTAAACTTCTTTGGAATATGCCCATAAAAAGGACCCAGGACACCATCATCATGTGGAGGTGTAGTAGACTGTATACCGACCAGGGGACTTACATTTGCCTTTAGGATACCCAGGCAAGGGACTACCACCAAGACGACCTGGAGGCATTGGCTGCCAGAAATTTGTTACGGGATTGTCAAAAAGGCAATAAAAAGAGCCTCGAGACAGATGAGGACCAACAAGCCGGGACAACCAGATAGGACAAGAAGACGAAGTAAGAAAAAATAGGTAAGCTTTTCATAAATTCGAAAATAGGCTTGTTTATGAAGTGTCTTTGGACAGTGTGCACTCTTTCCTCCAAAGTATACAGATGTGTAGACAGGGATGTGTGTATTATATGTATTATATGTACCCAAATACTTCTTGACAGTGTAAAAAATCCTCGTTATTTATAGCAAACTCTTTTCTTATTATATATATAATATTATATTGTTCGTGCTATATATATATATATATTAATATAGCCTATATGGTTTGGTCTGTGTTCGGTCCGATCTGACCCGGACGGACACAAGCTGTAGCACGGATGTAGCAAGGCTGTAGCACGGATGTATTACTGATGTACTTCTGACAGTGTTGGGTATCGGGAAAAATGGCCTCACTTTGATTTTCCAGTCACGCGATCTTTTGGCCTCGAGCACCGTAAACACATCTGATAATACAGTTGCGACGTCAAAGCTGTTTATGAAAGCCCCGGTAAAGTCGGACTAAACACATGACAGACTTTCAGGTAAGAGTAAAATACGAGAGAGGTGGCCGTTTATCCGTTATTGAACATATGACATCAACTTAGATTAAACGTCATGGTCAAACTGCTTTTTCCCCTTCAACTGTTGAACCGGTTTATCTTCAGAAACAAATTAAGAAATGACCCATGCAAATCGGTATTAATATCAACAATCTTGGACGTTGTTTTATGAGTGTTTTAGGAGTATATATCACACGGGGAAAACATTGGGGAAAGCTGAGATAAAAAAGCGTTACCATTAGACATTACCTGCATGATTCACGCATGTATGTTCAAAGTAGAAAAAATCGATCAAGTCAGGCTGTAGACATCCATTAGCTGAAGGTTTCAGTTGCACATTGATTTAGAGAAGTTATGGAACAGCATTTGGCAGAATACAGAGCACACAGAAGGTCAACTTTGATATTTGGATTATAACGGTAAGTTACTTTCATTGAGGATAGCTTATTCCTTAAAACACAAAGCAACAATTATAAAAATATTTCTTTGTTTACAAACAAATATAATAGTTGACAGGTGTGTAGACAATATGTTTGTCTGTTGTTTTTGTGCCCTCTGTTCATCGTTCTGGAACAAGTTTGACATGTCACGCTTGTGGGAAAATGGCAGATGGAGAACTTTTGGTATCTCACGGCGTGACGTTCCTCGTCGATTACACGTCCAGTGAAACATCATTAATGGCGACGTTTTCAGTAAAACAAGTTACAGACCAGCCCAATAATGGACGCCCACCAGACGCCGACCCACATCAAGACCGATGGAGTTGAACCACGCACCTCAGTCACACGTTTTTGCCAGCAACCCTGGCATTCCGTACCTTACCGTGCGTATCAACGCATAATAACCGACATATCAAGTTTTGAGCAAACCACGACCATCCTCCAATTTTCAATCTGTATGACCTCGACCCATTCAAAGCTAGCCTGCTCGGCTATGCGGTAGCCCATGCTCAGGCAGCGTCAGAAGAATATTGAATATACATTTATATTATATAAACTATCAAACTGTATTTCTCTTGTGTAAATTGATATCACACACAAATACGTATCTAATATAACGTATTTATACAATCTGTTGCTCAGTCATATCCGGTGCAAGACGCCCAATTCTGATGTCAGAAAATCACCGTCGACGTCGACTGTGGAACAGAGAACAGTTGCGATGGGAGTTTTCTTCTCCTATGAGTCAGCTTTCCCTCTTCACCGAACTGATGACAGGACACTTGTCTACAGGCGTACAGGTGAACGTTACACTAGGCCATGTGTTCTGTATTGGACAAGGGGGCGTTATGATTTGAGGAAGGATAACATCTGCAGCAAGGACGGCAATGGTTTTGGTTGAAGAGAACTTGAATGCTGTGAGGTACCGAGACAAGATTGAGCAAATGTCCGTTTTACCGTTTTTGCATAAGAACTGCACTGAGGTGGCGCTTCTACACGATAACGGCAGACCACACCTTGCTCGAGTTGTACAGCCGTATCTAGGACAGAACGATGTCTTACCCTGGCCCACAAGATCCACGTCTGGGATGAAATGGAGAGACGCCTACGACGTCATGCGAATCCTCGAACAACGCTGAAGGACATCCATCGACATTTTGTGGCCTCAATGAGGCGATGGTACTGCGTATCAATTTTAGATGGCAGAATAAGAATATGGCGACGACGTGGTCAGCGTTACTCAGACCAATGTGTTATGGAAAGAGACTCATGGGGAGGTGCAAGTATCATGGTATGGGGTGGCCTGAACCAGAGAGTGGGTCCTGTGGTGTTCCAGAACCTTAGTCCAGGGAGAGAAGGCCGCACCACAGCGGTGCGCTACATCTACCAATCTCTCAGACCCCAACGCATACCACATTTCGCACGTCACCGGAACAACATTTTCCAGCATGATAACGCCCTGGCCCGTACTGACAGAGCTACACGGGACTTCCTACAGCAGAACGGTGTCAACATTATGCAGTGGCCAGCCCTTAGTCCTGATTTAAACCCAGTTGAACATTGGGATGAAATTCAGAGGAGACTGAATAATGTCATACCAAGGCCGAACACAGCCGATTTCTTGCGCCAGGTCTTTCTCAGAGTGTGGTTCACGGTGCCAATTGCCTTCATCAATCGATTGGTGCACTCCATGCATAGACGCTGTGCTGCAGTTATTGCCGCTCGTGGTGGTCACACCAGATACTGAAGTCAAGAGTCTGAATGGACTGCAAACGTTCACGTAATGTCTTGGAATTGTGCTGAGTTATTCATTGATGTGTCAAAATATTGTCTACAAAAAATGTTTTTGATCCGTTTATTATGTCCATTTCTGTAATGATTTGATTACAGTGCCTATCTAATTTTGAATTCCTACTGATGGATTTTTTGCTGCTGAGTATATGTTAGTCTAAAAATCTTAGAAGATCCAAAGCTTACGCGAACTGAATAATTCCAGATCTTGGATACCAAACAGAGTAATCTATTATTTTATGTATCTGCTACCGAAAAACAACCAAATATATCCAATGTAAATTTCAGACAACTTATATTTGTGATTAATTGTCCTTTAGACAGAGTTTCGGCTTATATTTAAAAAAATGCATTTAACACATATACCAGGACAACATGTGTTAACACTTGTGACAACTACCTCTGCAATTATCTGTGAAACTCGTAACTTGTAACTCACAATGAATCACGAAAGCAACATCCTCTCATACACACTACTTTAAGCGTGATACGGAAGTCAACACACTGTCATAATATAACCCACATCCGGGAAATCTGTCCGTCTGTCAGTTTGCATTCTCCCCAACCCCTTACCACGGCCATCCCACAATCTTCCCCATCCCACCACCTCCCACCTCACCGCCAGTGTATCATTCGCACAGACACACTTTTCTGAATTTCAGCAATTCAGTGCACTCTTAACCACCTTACATTCTACATCCACCATATATCCGCCACTCTCTACAACCTTTCAATTCAACATCCGCTCCCTCTGCTTCTCTCTCCACCACCTTCCCATTCTACATCCACTCCCTCTGCTTCTCTCTCCACCACCTTCCCATTCTACATCCACACCCTCTAACCCCCACCTCCCCATTCTACATACACGCCCTCTGCTCCTCTCTCCACCACCTTCCCACTCTACATCCCCTCCATCTGCTTCACTCCCCACCACCTTCCCATTCTACATCCACTCCCTCTGCTTCTCTCTCCACCACCTTCCCATTCTACATCCACTGCCTCTGCTCCACTCTCCACCACCTTCCCACTCTACATCCACTCCATCTGCTTCACTCCCCACCACCTTCCCATTCTACATCCACTCCCTCTACTCCTCTCTCCACTAGCTTCCGATTCTGATTGTCTCGCGCACTTTATGGCCGTTATTTAAATGAGTGGGTGACTTAGGTTTTACGCCGCATTCAGCAATATTCCATCTATATGGCGGTTGTGTGTAAATAATCGAGTCTGGACCAGACAATCCAGTCAACAACAGCGTGAGCATCGATCTACGCAACTGGGATACGATGGCATGTGTCAAGCAAGTCAGCGAGCCTGACCACTCGATCCTGTTAGTCGCCACTATTGACAAACATAGGTTACTGAAGATGCTGAACATTTCCCAGGACGTCTGTAAACGAGGCGTCTTCCGTCTGTACGGAGAAGCAAAAGGAAAAAAAACCTTGACTAGTATCAGTAAAGCACGTCTGCATCGGTGTTGAGACCATTGACGTCGCCGCCGACAATGCTCCTCACTGTCTGTCCTGAAATCCTACGCAATCCTGGTATTGCTATATCTGTAGAG